GGTGGTTGTGTTGTGGTGGGTGGTTGTGTTGTGGTAGGTGCTTGGGTGTTTGTAGTTTGAGATCTGGCAGAGTTTGAACTGTGCCAAGAACATCTGTGCTAATAGTGGTCTGTGCATGGTCTGTGCACCTGCAGTTCCGCATCTGCCAGATGTGGAACTGCACCAAGAATGTCTGTGCACCTGCAGTTCCTCATCTGCCAGATGTGGCACTGCACCTACCCAAGAGGACACATGAATCTTACCCCAATTTGTTCCTACCCAATATGACCTGTGAGTAGTCAATCAACAGGACAACAGATCTCTAACACAGTCAATCGGCAGCTCTCTTCACACGGTCAATTGATAATGCAGTGTCTCTCTTGTCACAGTCAATTAGCAGGACAGCAGCGCTCTCACATGCTCAATTGACAGGGCAACAACTCTCTCCTCATGGTCAATTGGCAGCTCTCTCTACATGGTCAATCAACAGGGCAACAGCACTCTCAAACGCTCAATCAACAGGGCAACGGCTTTCTTCTCATGGTCAATTGGCAGGACAACAGCTCTCATATGGTCAATTGACAGGACAACAGCTCTCTCCACCCAGTCAGTTGACTGGACAACGGCTCTGTCCACACGGTCAATTTGAAGGACAACAGCTCTGTCCACACGCTCAATCAAACAGACAAAACAGCTCTCTCCTCACGGTCAATTGACAATGCAACAGCTCTCTCCTCACGGTCAATAGACAGGGCAATGGCTCTGCCCACACGCTCAATTGAACTGGCAAAACAGCACTCTCCTCATAGTCAATTGGCAGGGCAATGGTACTCTCCTCACACTCATTGACAGGGCAACAGCTCCCTCACACGTTCAATTGACAGTACAACAGCTCTATCCACATGCTCAATTGACAGGACAATATCTCTCTCCACACAGTCAATCAACAGGGAGATGGCACTCTCCTCACGCTCAATTGACAGGTTGACAGCTCCCTCACACAGTCAATCAACAGGACAACAGCTCTCTTCACACAGTCAATCAACAGGGCAACAGCTTTCTTGCATGGTCAATCTCTGTCCTCATGCTCAATCAACATGGCAACAGCTCTCTCACACGGTCAATCAACAGGACAACAGCTCTTTCCACATGGTCAATCAACAGGGCAACAGCTCTCTACTCACGCTCTCACTCACATGAGTCACGGCACTCTCCTCACACTTAATTGACAGGGCAACGGCTCTCTCCTCAACTGCAGCACTCTGTTACAATCAAATGGCAACCCACAATAACACTGAACAAACAGGACTATGCAGCAATACAAGAGGAGCTGAGGAACTGTAGTATCAATCAACCCAAGCAGTGAGGCCGCATTGGTGATTCTCAGTATGATCATTGATCTCAGTTGAGCAACTTGAGCAGTTAGGCCATGCCAGTATACTTGGTATGTGCAGTATACTTGGTATGATCATTATACTCAGTACTGAGCAATCTTAGCCATCCTCCTGATCAAGTATAGAGCAAGTAGACATGCTGTCCTTATGGCATTGTGTTCAACCTTGTCAATCAACTTTGTTATTGGAATCTCACCTGCTGTTGAGTTAGACAGTATACTCAGTACTACTCATTGCTCCCAGTTGCCATGGTCTTTGACTAGATGACTACCCAAGTATTACAAAGGTTATTACAGGCCTGACCAATAGTCACCAACCCCTGACCGCTTTCTGTACCTCTGCTCATCCTGAGAAACAACTGAATAGTGTCTATGAGCTTTGCTCAAGGCACAACTTCAACACACTCCTCTGAGCTGCCATATCAACTCCAGAAGCGGCTAGTACCTTGCGACTAAATGTACTAGTACCTTGTGACCAAACCTACTAGTACCTTGCAACTGAAGCTACTAGTACCTTGCACCTGAGCCTACCCAAACCTAGTAGTACCTTGCGCACAAACCTACCCAAACCTACTAGTACATTGCGCCTGAACCTACTAGTACCTTAACCCACCTGAACCTACTAGTACCTTGCAACCAAACCTGCTAGTAACTTCCACCCAACCTACTAGTACCTTCTGCCCAAACCTACTAGTACCTTGCGCCTGAACCTACTAGTACTTTGCGCCTGAACCTACTAGTACCTTACGCGCAAATCCACTAGTACCTTAACCCACCTGAACCCACCTTCTACTCCTTTTCCAATTAGACCCTAATCAATTTAATTGTGGCCTGTGCAGGATCCTTGTAACGACTCTGCACACAGCAAAGCTGTGGAGCAAACTAGTTTACAGTAGCTAGAGGCAAAGCTAGCTGGCTGGCACTATATATATTATACTACACAAAGAGTACTTGCTCAAGTATTCTTATACTTAGCTTTTGGTATACCTTGGAGATGTCATGTAGTATTGATAATGAGGGCAGGGCGCTCATCCATTACAATCCTGATTGTGACGCTAGTCCGTCTAAATACTTGTGGCTAAATCTACCTCACTAGACACACCCTATTGACATTGTTAGCATGGAGCTGTAATATATAGCTGTGATAAATAGCTGTGATAAATAGCTGTGATAAATAGCTGTGATAAATAGCTGTGATAAATAGCTGTGATAA